AGCTGTAAATTTATTGCATTTTTAACAACAATAGTTTTTATGTTTATTTCTAATATTTCCAGTTCTCTATTTTTTTGTGAGATGACAATTATTTCTTAAAATACAGTGATTACTAAGTTTCATTCATTTATCACATATTTCGTACATACACCCTAGAAATAGGTATGTATATGGTACCAAGTCGTGCTTTTTCTTCACATTAAAAGAACTTTGTGAATTATGTATTTTTTTTTTAATACCAGACGATGAGGAAGCCCGACTTAGCCATACCAGATTAACTTGCTTTGTGTGCACATGGAAATTCCAGCATAACTCAATTAATCACCAAACCTACTTGATCAAATTAAGAGTTAATGATTAAAAATTGGTTTTTTAATCGCGGTTACGATTAACTGCTTAACCAAATTAAAATTAATCATGATTTACTGTAATCAGTTTGAATTTAATCGAGTTAACTAATTATCGATCGATTAATGCCATCATTGATTTCACATACATATCACTATACCAAGTTTCCGTTCTCTCCCACAAATACTTCCAGAGATATGTATGTAATATGAAAATTCCAATTTGTATGGGAGGGACCTTGAGTTATCGGACTTACTTTCAGTCTAAGACCCTCCTTCCGAAATCCGTAGTAAGTGTACTAAATTTCGTTCTGATCGGAAAACCGGTTAAGGAAGTAGCCTATTTTTCAATCCAGGTCATAAACCATCTTTGAACAAAATTTTATTTTCAAACAGGTGGCAATTCTTAAAAAAGTAGCCTATTTTCCAGTCTAGGTCATAAGCTATCTGTGTGCAAACTTTCATGCAAATCAGTTCAGTCATTTACGCGTATTAATTTAATTAAACTTTCCTAATACGTGATAACTCTTAAAATAGTAGCCTATTTTCCAACATAGGTCATAAGCTATCTCTGTGCGAAATGTCATGCAAATCATGTAATTAAAACTTTTTTAACAGGTGGCAACTCTTCCAAAAAATTAGCCTATTTCCACTGTAGGTCATAAGCTATCTGCTTGCAAAATTTCATGCACATCCGTTCAGACTTTTCCGCATATTAATTTAATTAAACTTTTTTAGCTGGTGGTAACTCTTAAAAAAGTAGCCTATTTTTCAACCTAGCTCATAGGCTATCTGTGTGAAAACTTCCATGCAAATCAGTTCACTCATTTCCGCGTATTAATTAAATTAGACATTTCTAACAGGTGGCAACTCTTAAAAAAGTAGCCTACTTACTAACCTAGGTCATAACCTATCCGTTAAGTCGTATCCGCGTATTAATATAATTAAGCTTTTTTAACAGGTGGCAACTCTTCCAAAAAATTAGCCTATTTTTCACTGTAGGTCATAAGCTATCTGCTTGCTAAATTTCATGCAAATCCATTCAGTCGTTTCCGCGTATTAATTTAATGAAACTTGTTTAACAGGTGGCAGCTCTTAAGAAGAGTAGCCTATTTTCCAATCTAGGTCATAAGCTATCTGTGTGCAAATTTTCACGCAAATCCATTCAGTAGTTCCCGCATATTAAATAAATTAAACTTTTTAACAGGTGGCAACTCTTAAAAAAATAGCCTATTAACCAATCTGGCCCATAAGCTATCTGCGTACCAAATTTCATGCACGTCCGTTCAGTCGTTTCTGCGTGATGATTTCCCAAACATCCAAACATACAAACTTTCACATTTATAATATTAGTAAGATTTTGAAATTCAGTAGCAGCGCCACACACCTTCGGTAAAAAAATTCTAAAAAAAACGGTAACTTTTAGCTACTTGAAACTTGCACATTATTACACTAAAATTGAATGGGCTAAAACACTTCTGAGAAAAAAGTTTGAAATTATAATGATTTTTTTTAAGTGTTCTACAAAATCTTAAGCTTAGGTTTATATGGTGTTTGTTAGGGAATGAACTGCATTTTAATTTATTGAAAAATCTTAAAAATTAATGAATAAACATAAGTGGCAAACAATGTTATTGTGAATTTGGTACAAAATGATATGTCCAACTTTGACTTTTTAAACAATTTAATTCTTGTAAAAATGATATACCATTGCACTAAATATTTTTTTAATAAATATTTTCTTTACATGTTTATGTATTTACATAATGCTACGATTTTGGTTTTAAACTATGTATACTTCATTAAATGTTCTTATTCAAGTATTTATGTAAGTTAACAAGAAGATGTAACTACATAGGTAATTATGTCCGCTTAAGTACCCGCATCGAGGTACTTAAGCGGGTTCTTTTAAGTACCCAACCCGCCTAAGTACCTTAAAAAGCTGTAATTTTTCGTGAGGTACTTAAGCGGGTTTTACTGTATTTGCAAATAAAAAATTTACTCAGCTTTTATACGGCAAAGTTTACCATTTTGCAAATTGTTATTTGCAAATAATGCGTGCGTATAAACCTGTGGTCGGGGCTTCATACCACAATTGTGGAAGGTCAACTCACACGTATTCTTAAGGCCGGTCCAAATAGAACTTTCGCGTTGGCTTTGGCGTTGGCGTTGGTTTGACAGCACGCACGTTTAAAGTATGCTTGCTACAATGAACGCTTGGCAGCGAATGCTGGGGCCACTAAATTAACATACCAACGACAGATAAATTAATATTTCATATCAATAATTGCGTTAAAAACGATATTTCTTGTCCGCACTTGATTAAAAAGGAAAAATATTTCACATAATTTTATTTATTTGCAACAGCTGACGAGCGACGCATGCGAAAAGTTGAGAGTTGGCCATCTTTTTACTTTGTGTTGGCGTGAGCGTTGTCGAATTTTGGCTATGTGGACGGCTGCATTTGAATTCATGTATTCATAGTCAGCTGTTGAAGCGACGCCAACGCAACGCCAAAGTTGTATGTGGACGGGCCTTTACGCTCTATCGTTTAGTCGTTGGGTAGAGAGCAACGAATCAACATCGTGTTTGGCTGTTGCGCTTTGTTTCTTGTATGCAAAAATGCCTTGCGAGGAATATTACTTGCTTGAAAATGCTATTGGTGACATGCAATGCCTTTTATGTTATAAGTCATTTAAAAAACAAAGAATATCCTATTCAAAGACATTTTGATTATTTTCATAAAGAAACATTTTGATGAAGAAGAAATACAACGACTTTTTAATGAAAAAAAGATAATTTTTTTTTCAAAGAATTAAAGGGTGGTTGTTGAAGGGAATATGTATGTGATTAAAAGACATTTTTAAACATTTCATAATGATATGGAAAATTTTTGTGAACATGAATTTAAATTTTTTTATTTAAATTTTCAATATTTGGCGTGGGTGAATCCAAATGAATTTTGAAATTTTTTATTTGAGTTATACTTCAATATTTTCATAACACAAGAAACTAAAAACTCGAGAAAACCAGTTTTAAAGTTTTGAATTAACATATACTCCCAAGGGAAATTTAATACATATTTAGTTTTACTATTTGTTTCCGTGAGCTTACTATGCGCGGATGAAAATTTTTCAGGTGAATTTTTTTTCGGGCGAAATTCAAGATAAAGCTAATTTTGTTCTAGTGAGCTACTGGTAATCGTTACAGCCATGAAATTTTTACACATAATAAGAAAGAGCTAATGTTCATTCTTGCATACTAGTTGAATGGAACTTGTAGAAATATCTTCAAAAAATATTTATTAGTATTTACCAAACCCTTCAACTAAATTAACGATTTGGTACAACCTTTATGAATATTAGAAGCTTTATTATATTTAGTTATACTTACCAACCCATGGTAATAGTTCCCCAATATTGAAAAAATTCGGGAACTAAATAACTTTAGTTGTCGAAACTAATCCTTTTTCTCAGTGTAGCCGCTTTCGTTGTTCGGAGTTAACTCAAAAACTACTGCATAGATTTCAGTGAAATTTTTAGAGGTTATATCTTGCATATATGGTCCTATTATAGGCTACTAGAAAGCTCGCTAGGTGGCGCTGGAGTCGAGTTATTTTTAGAAATCGTATTTATGAACCGAATTCTTTTATATTCAAAATGTAAGCTACCAGCATGATGGAAAATACGTGTACCAAAAAAAAAATTTATGAACCGATTTCGTTCAAATTCAAGCAACATGATGTGAAAGGCATTTGCGAAAAATGGACCCGATAAATGCCCTATTTATTTTTTTTTCATTCGAAACATATATGTACACATTCACACATAAAATGATAGCCTTTTTCGTTGTTCGGACTAAACTCAAAAATCAGTTAAATTGTCGGAGGTTATACCTTGCATATATGGTCCTATTATAGCCTACTAGACAACACGCTGGTGGCGCTGGAGTAGAGTTACTTATAAAAGTCGTATTTATTAACCGATTTCGTTCAAATTCGCAAAGTACCTGTATGATGAAAAATTCGTTTCCTAAAAATGAGCCCGCTACATTGCATAAAATCTGATTGAAATTCATAATGCGTATTTATTTCGTGACAAGCAGTGGTTTTCCAGAAAAGGGACCTAATGGATTGCGCTGCAGCCGAAATATATAGAAACCCACTCGGAGTTTGGTCTGATTTGGCCCTATATTCACCTTAGACGAATTTACTTTTCATATGGCTAAATGGAGGATTCGTTTAAGTATACATGTAAAGACCGCAACATTCTGTAAGCGCACCTTTGCCTGACGACCTCCTACACCCTAAATGCGATCTTGCACCTACCTTCGATTGACGAAATTGCTCGAGGCGGCCGTTAGTACAACAGTAAGACTCAAAGAAACCAGTTCACAAATATTAAGGTAAATTGTAAAAGTGGCATATTGACAAGGAAAGATTCGACCACATCCGTAAAAAACGGGACACGGTAGGTATATAAATGGCTACCTTTGAACGAAATTTAAGAGATCACGCGACTCATTTAGTCAATGTACGGGAAAACTTTTCATCCTTTAGGGGGCGAGGATTCTTGGCCCTCCTATAATTGAAAACGCTCATCTGTGCTCTTTAGTTTCCTAATAAGGACTTTTATTGGGTTACATGGTTTACGGACCAATGTTAAAGTTGTAAGATCATAGAAGAATATTACGCACGCTTGGCAGAGATCTCACAGGTGGAAATAAGACATCGGTAAAACTCATTCCATATGGTATAACAGCGCTACTATTCTTGGCCTATGTGTGAGGAGGATTCTGCTCTTTATTCGTTTCAATTTAAATTAAAAATTTTTACTTTACATACCGCTTTTGCTTCTAAACGCTATTTTTGTATTGGCCAACACAAAAGATCCCATTAGGCGTCGCGGAGCAAGCGGGCATTGGCTAGTTAATCTATGTACACTTACAGTTGTCCACAAAATAATAGGAGTGCGATATTTTGACCAGTTTTGGCTATTTGTCTTTTGTTTATTTAATGTTTATTATTTTTTTATAAAACCCTAGCTGGCTATACAACAAACACCATATAAATTCAGATTTTAAACTTTGTATAAAAATTATAAAAATTTTGCAATTTTTCACCCAAATTTCAAACTTTTTAATCAGAATCTTTAGAAAAAATTCTGGTATGCAGTTTTGTAGCACATTCAATTCTAGTCTGAAGAAGTGCAGGTTTCAAGCGTTGATTTTTGGCAATTTTTTTGCTGGCAGTGTCCTCCATATAAAAGAAAATTGTCGACATACTTTGTATGGAAAAAACGTGAAACACCTTTAACCAAAAAAATTCTCAAAAATCAACGGAATTTTTTAGCCGCTTGAAACTCAAGCGGAAGGTTTCGGAAAGGTGAAAAAACATATATTTAATACTTGCGCCGGGTATTTAATGTTCGGCTCCGCCCGAACTTAGACTTTCTTACTTGTTTTGCTTAATATTGACTCGCTGGATTTTTTATGCGGTTTTTTAAGAATTTTTTACATGGAGTATCTGAATTTATGAGATTTTTGAAAATGCTGGAACGCATCCTCTGTTTTGGTATGAAAGCAAAGAACTTTTTTATGCGGATTTTTTTTTACGCGGCTTTCTAAGGAACGCATGTACCGCATGAAAAAAGACCTAAGTGTATACAAAATAATAGCCGTTTTCGTTGTTCGGAGTTAACTCAAAAACTACTGCATAGATTTCAGTAAAATTTTCAGAGGTTATACCTTGCATATATGGTCCTCTTATAGGCTACCAGAAAACTCGCTAGATGGCGCTGGGGTCGAGTTATTTATAAAAGTCGTATTTATGAACATATTTCGTTCAAATTTAAATCATGCACTATCTGCATGATGAGAAATACGTATGCGAAGAATAGACTCGCTAGGTGGCGCTGGAGTCGAGTTATTTACAAAAATCTTATTTATGAACCGATTTATTTTAAATTCAAAATGATGGAAAATACGTTTACCAAAAATAGACCCGCTAGGTGGCTTTATGAACCAATTTCGATCAAATTCAAATTATAAGCTACCTGCACGATGAAAAATGGACCCGATAAAAGCCCTATTTATGAACCGATTTTGTTAATGCAAATTCGAAACGTTTATTACTTTCATGACAATTTTTTTTTCATTCGAATCATATACAGTGCCGGACAAAAGTATTGGCACAGAGAATTTTTCGCAATATATGCAAAGTTTTTTATTCTAATTTATTTTCAATATTTTTTAATAAAAATATAGTTCGTACTTCAGCAAAAAACATAAAAGCAAAATCTCTAAACTTTGTGCAAAACTCAGGAAAGTTCAATAAATTTGCATACTAATTTGCAACTTCTTATTCAGATTTTTTAGAGAAATTCTAAGTATGTAGTTTTATAGCCCAACTAATTTTAGTATAACAAAGTGCAAGTTTGAAGTATCTAAAAAATTGCACAATGGAAGTGTGCCTTCCGTTTATTTCAACATGCTCGATTTGCTGTAGTTACTTAAGACGTAAAAGTCTTGCTTGTTCACCAAACCGGTCTATAGTTTTATATATAATCTGATTGGTTATCGAGCTAGCATTCTCTGGTACTATTTTTGAATATATATGCACTAATTTGTACAAAATTTGAAATAAATTACTGCAACTGGGCAAATTATGTTTCTAACGGAACTTTTTTGGGCTGTTTCAATGATTTGGTCAAAGTCACTTCTGTGATTTGTACAATTGAAAAACTGGAACGACGGTTCTATGTACTAGAGATGTCAGTGTCCAAAAAACATCGAGGCATCGATACATCGACTATTTGTACATCGAGTGGAACACCCTTATTCTAGAACCCGAATTTTCGTAATTCGTAATTCGTAGCTACGTTACGAAAAACGAAAAATCGACATGCTGCAATCCTTGCGGAAAAATGTGCAGCATTGCCAGCTATCAGTTGTTTTTCGAAATCAGCTCTATGAAGGAAATCAAAGTGGAAAGGAATTAAAGAAACACTTATCATATCGTCGCTGGAATAATGAAGTAGTGTAACATGAAAAGTATAGTTTTGAGAAAAACGAATTGGAAGTTTTTATAAACCATTACAAACCATACAAATACAATTTCGTTTTTCGGGAATAAATTAGTGAGCCAAAGAGATATTTAAGAAAACTAAAGATTTTTCTAATAGATTAAAGGATTGTCTATCCAATGGTGCAATTATCGAATAATAGTGTATGTGGCATTTACACTGTTTCTTTATTCGAGCGACGATATGCTTGTTTATTGTAAAATTGGTTGATTTTACATATTTTGAGGAAAATTATGGATTCTGATGCATTTGCAATTATAGCATCGGAGTAAGAGCGCGCTGTGGCAATGGATTCATCTATGTCAGCTTCTGGTTGAATTGTAGAGCCACAGGCTATAATTCCTCCTATGCCCGAAGAATAGGTTCTCAATCCTGGTAATGCAATAACAGCTTCTTCCAAGCCATTGAAAATATGCATTTTGTTAGGTCCACCACCTGGTTTCGCTTGGTGATTATAAGCCTTACTAATGAGAATACTCTTTTCTGTGTTGCCGGAGAAAAGGGCGGAAGCCTCTCTTCTACTGTGAAAGGTATACAAGGTTTATTGTGCATATAACTCCGGCTACGCCATCAACTGTTTCTTTGCGCAGAACCCACATCGAAATTTACAAAAAAATGCATGGTTCAAACCGAATTTGTTAATAAACTTGAGCTCGGAAATTTGGAACTTTTATTTTAGATGAAAGTTTAATCCTTTGATCACATGTGCATGCTAAATTTTTTAGAATCGGGTGATGCGTTTGGATACAGCAACCCAAAATCATTGTACAAATAACTAAACCGTACCAAAGTTTCTCGATAAGGGGCAACAAACATTCTTTCTTGTTCGTTCATATAAAGCAGTGGATAAAAATATACGTGTATTCAAAAGGCAAATTTATCTTCCGACACAGAATTGGTTTCGTACAAAATTACGCAAAAAAGCTGTAAATTTCTTACTCTTTCGCTTTTAGGCATGCCATTGTTACGAATTTCGAAAGTTCGAAGATACGATTCAGATTGCAGCATTCCATTTCTACGATTCTTAGCAAAATCCGAATACGAAAGTGTTGCAGAACAGGGGTGGAAAACGTTCGATGCATCGAAGCAAAACGTCGATATTTTCGATGCATCGATGTTTTTCTGACATCCCCAGTCTTCACCAGACGCATTCTTTTACACACATATACATGCGATATATACTTCTGTGTGTGTGTATGAGTGTGCATAAGGACTTATGTAGTTATTTAACCTTTATGTCAACAGCAGAAAAATTGTACGTATGTACGTCAACAGCAGCATGCCCGGGTATGCACATATACTTTGTATGGGAAACGGCATTGTGTTATGACGAAAATGTGAATATTTAACACATTTCTTTAAACCGGACAAGTTTTTACTGTTATTTTCTAAAGAAATATGTTTATTTTAAATATGTGAAGAAAGATTTGAGAAATGTGTTATATCTTATATATAAAAATAAAATAATGTAAAAAAAATATTTTTTAAAAACAAGCTTTTATTTAACATGTACAATCAAAGGAATAAAATAAAGTAGTGTAACAAAAGATTTTTTAGCAAAAAAATTTTGTCAAAACTGCACTAAAACGAATAAAATAAAATAAGTTAAGGTCTCGTTAAAGTTACTAAAAGCCATTTAGTGAAAGGAGTTATTTAAACTCTAATGAAAATTACTAACAATTTGTACTAATTTACTTCGTTTTTAAAAAAGCTTGTCGGCGAATTCAGCGTACATGCATAATTGGTTAGGTATGTATGTATGCAGATATTTAAATGTCGGTTTGCTATTCGCTCGACAAGCTTTTTTAAAAACGATGTAAATTAGTACAAATTGTTAGTACTTTTCATTAGAGTTTGAATAACTCCTTTCACTAAATGGCTTTTAGTAACTTTAACGAGACCTTAACTTATTTTATTTTATTCGCTTTAGTGCAGTTTTGACAAAATTTTCTTGCTAAAAAATCTTTTGTTACACTACTTTATTTTATTCCTTTGATTGTACATGTTAAATAAAAGCTTGTTTTTAAAAAATATTTTTTTTACATTATTTTATTTTATAATTTTTAGTCCATTTATAAAAGCGTTGTATATTAAAAAGTGTTATTTCATTTTATGTACAAAATTTTGCAATAGATATTAAAATGATTCAGCTTGCAATGAAAGAGAACAGAAGACTTGGCAAGCAAAATGTTGTTTGCTTACGGTTTGTATAAACATACATATGAACATATAGCAGCAGTTAATTTTATTTAAAGAAAT